CCGCATACAACACAGCCCCTGCCCTATTGCGCCTGCCTTTTTCCAGACTTGATTGTTTGTCTTGAGACATTACATTTACCTCAGCTGTGATTCTGTTCAATTCTATCTCCTTTGCATGAGCTAAAGCCTAATTGACGTAAAACAGCCTAGCTCCAGTTCTGAATTTTTTTCTGGTTACATGTTGAACTCGATGGACATTTTTAGTGAAAGATCACACTGAGTTTTATAGAGGTAGCTAAAAGCTGTTATTTTCATTTTACAGATGGCAAAGCAACCTCATAAGGAGTCTGTGTCACCTGCCCAAGATCAATCAGAAAATTAATGGCAGAACTGGTAAGAGAAATCTGATGTCCCAATATGCCGTTCTTTGCTCTAAACTACAGGCCTGCCTACAGCCACTGAAATTGGCCACGTGCTCAATAATATTTCAGTGTACAAGTATATTTCACTGGTCTTTATAACCCAAGTCAATGTATGTGTCTTTCCATACATATTTTTTAAAGTACCTAATTATTTGAGACTTTAACTGGGCATCATTAGCCAATTGCTATATCCTGAAAATGGAAACATCTTCCTAAATCAAATACTTAACACTAGAAATTAATGGATACCCAATGCCTAAAAGAAGATCAAAAAAACCTCTAACAGTTTGACTGAGATAATATACCCACTAAATTCTATTCTCTGTCATGGGACATTAGTTAGATCTACTCTGAGGAACTCAGGGTCCAAAGTGTATCCGGAAGGCTGATTGAACTCTAGAATGCTTTAGCTTTGGCATTCTTTGGATAAGGTCTAGCTGGGAATCACGAGTACTGAACCCAGCTGCAGAAGACTTGGGAGAGAGCAACAAACTGGGGGAAAGTTGGTTTGTTTTGCCTTTCTGGACGTCATTCTTTAATCCAAGAGAATTCTTTAATTTAAGAGAAGCAGGAAATAGTGCTTAAACTATGATGTCGATTGCATCACTTGCTGTGCAACCGTGAACATACGCCCATGATGTGCTGCGTCCTGTTCCTACTAAAGTACGCTATCTAATTCAAAAGGGTGATGATTATTATCTCAAGGAACCTGTGTTCTTAGGCGAACTGTATGTGCTGCTAAACAAAGGAAAAATTCTCACTGCCTCCAAGTTCTTTCTTAGAAGACTACCTCAAAGTTTACAGCAGTGCCTAAATTCAGTTGAAACCTGAAGTGACCAAAAAAGACTGGTTTATAGTCATCTTATAGATGGAAAAGTTTGGGCTGGCAGGGTGCTCAAAAAGCAAGGTGCTCAAGTGATTTAATGTAAGCATTAATTGCTTACCAAAGAATTGAGGTCTTCTGTCATTTGCCTGCTTCTCAATTCCATGCAGTGTTTGTATGCGTATGTGTGTTTACATATATGCACGTATACATTTGTGTATATATTTATCTGTGTACACCTACCACGTACACAATTGGTTTATACTGTATAGTACCTAGGTGTAGGAAGTGTGAACAGGAAAGCTCTTGGCTCAGAGTAACTGCTCTATCTTGATCCTGTAATTTCTGGTGCGCTTTGCTTAATAACTGGTATATTCTCTAGACATTTTTGCCATAAGTAGGAGAAACCTACTGTGTAGCACAAGACTTTAATATTTTTTTCCTGAATCTTTGTGGCATATTTAAGTCATGTTTTTCACTAGAGCTTATATCTACCCTTTATCTGCATGAGTTTAGTATAAACAAGTTTCTGATAAATCTCAATACTGAATTACATTGTCCCAAATGTGTCCTGGTATTCTCACTGCAATACTGGCAGATCAGTGCAATGTAGGCAAACAGAATTAATGTATCACAAAAAAAAAAAATTAATGAAAAACAGATTTTAAAAATGTTTAAGGGAGACTTTAAAATTGAAATTGAAACTGTGTTGTTTTGTAGTCTCTCACCCAGAAGCTTTTGCTAATGATAGACTAATTCTCAGAAAGAAAATGACATGTAATTAATGCGTTTTGAGAAAATCTTACGATAATCAAAAGTAGGTTTTTTCCTACCCACAAGGACATCACCATTTTAAAGCACAGTATTCACAGTCTATCTAGGGACATAGGTAACTTCTATTTCTATAAATGCCTTTCTAATTGTCTTAAGATGTTAAAACACTCACGGATATAGTTCTAACAGTTCTGGACACTGGACCAATGCAAAATTTTCTTTGGAAACTCCACATTTTGCGGAAATAAGAAGACAGTTATTGAAAGCTGTTTTTTAAAATTGTTATCTATCTGAAGCTGCTCAGAGACTCAGAGTGTTAGATTAGCTCCAGACTGTGATTGTACCACAGGTAATGGATGTGTTGTTACAAAGAACTGACCGGGTTCTGTATGTGTATTTTTACAGTGGGAGAGAGAAAAATATGTACTTAATTGTGAACTTAGTCCCTTCTTTGTGTTTGTGAGTTCTGTGAGCTGGAGTCACAAAAGTCACTGGAGTGATAAAGTTCACGCTACTCTCTATGGCAATAGGATCAGGCCCTTATATACTCAATATTTCCTATTCCACTGCAATTTTATTCCAGTTTACTGTCCTGTTCTTGTCTAGGTTAATCTTGCAAATTTTACGACCTGTGATATGATGGGCTCACTTCCTCACAGATGTGAGTTTTTGGGAGCCTCATACAAAGGTGAGCGGTGAGAAGTTGGGTCTGAATTTTCAAAAGGGATGGGGAAAGACTAAATCATATGAAGTCAAAATGCTCTTGAGCCTTGGGGACTACACACTCAAATGCCATCGCAGTGGTGGGTCACAACTGAGCCTCTTAAGTATAATAATACTTAGTTGCTACAAAACACTTGTCCTCAAAGTGTTTCATAAGTGCAATCTAACTGACATCTGCTTCCACTTCCTTCTGAGAAAGATCAGTTTTCATTTCCAGGGTGGGGAAACTGAGGTACAAAATTCCCAAAACCCTGCTACAAACTGGTAGCAAAGGTGGGAACAAAATCTGGCGCTCAGCCTTCTGCCTGGGACATCACAACCCAGACAGGAGGCATTGGGTCCAGCAAGTATAAGGCTGAGGCTTCAGTGACTTTTGGATGCTGACACCCCTTGAGCTAGCTGTACATGTGTGTTGGTTCCATACATGTTATTCCTCCGAGGAGCCTACAGCTGTTCCTCTGGACTTCCATACCACCAGCTCCATCCCTTACAGGGATAGCTGGCTGTCCTTCCACAGCTGCCTTTGTAAGGTGTCTGAATGTCAAACTGTTATTATTTCAATACCTGACTGAGAGAGTAACAGAGACCTGGAGGTTTTTTAGGAGGGTGTATAATTAGCCGATCAGTATTATGTTACCCTGTTCATAACTTAATAACCATTTTAATACAGATGGCACACACAGGGATAATTTCCTAGGGTAGCCTAGCAGTATATTACAGAGACAGTGTGTCTGAGGGAATCTTTCTTAGCCAAGGTACATTCCACTAGCTAATTCTACCTGCTGTTTTCAAGATGATTTGGGATAATTCCATATCATTTGCAAAATATTAAAACCCATTTATATAGGATGCCAGATTTAGAAATACACAGTCTGAGTTATTAGACATATTTTGATAAATCTGCCATGAAAAGTGCAAGACAAAAAATACCACTGTGTTTTCCTTGCTATTTATTTTTTGCTTCCCTTGCTATAAATACACCATTCTTAAAAAAAAGGCTAAATTTTTTATTTATTAAAAGGGCCAATATACTGACTTGTGCGTTTTTATCTATGTAGACACAAAAAAAAGCCTGTATGCATATTTACATATACCCTATATACATTTATTCGAGTGAGAAGAGCTGTACGTTTGGGGTTGAGTCCAAAATTTCATGCATTTTTACTCTGTCAGCGAGGTATTTTGTGCCTATGTATGTACCCTCTACAAATATTCCTGTGTTACTCTTTCTAGAGGTTATATTTCTGTGGGCATAGTCAGGATATCTATGCATACATTACACTAAAACAACATAATTACTTTTACTGTGTAGACGAGAGTGTTATGTATTTCCAAAGTATGAAGATCTGCCGTACGTTGTGTTTGAAGGTGCAGGCATGTGAACAGTTTGAGCGCTTTGACGTGTCTTAGTACTCGATTACATCTATTACCGTCCCTTTTCTCCTGCATCGATCCGGGTTTTTTGCCTGTCACATGGTTATTTTTGTCACCTCAAACCTGAGACCAAATCTGAGTCCCTCCACCAACAAAATTCGCACCCTAGCAGCCGGGGAAGGAGGTGGGGTGGGAAATCGTTCGCTAGTGCGGAATCGATCCTGCTGCCGAACCTCCTGCGAGGGCAGGGATCAAATCAAGACGGGGCCGCAGGGAGCGCGGGGAGCAGCGCTCCCCAGCCGGAGAAAGGATCGCCCGGCAAGTTTAGCCGTTCCCTCGAACTAGCGATGAGGAGTGAACCGGAGGAGTGGGTACAAGGGAATCCTTCCCCCCGCGCTCAGCGGCTCGCAGCTGTGAGCCCCGCTTGGCAGTAGATAACGGCAGCCTTTCGACTCAGAGCTCTAACACCCTGGAAAGGCCGGCGATTACCTACACCTCGAGAGAGGCATTGGAGAGACACGGGAAAACCCGGCTCCGCCGCCCGTGTCCCCGCCAGCCCGAACAGCCCCCAAAGCTTGCGGCACCGCCAGGCTGCTCGGCGGGAACTCAGCTGCTCCCGCAGCAGCCCCGGCTGCCCCGGCCCCCGCCTGCCCCCCGGGCCGGGTGGCGGGCACAAGGTGCGGCCCTTGGGCGGGCACAGCGAGCCCCGGCACAGAGCCGCGGGCAGCCGGGGTCGGCTCCGCTGCCCGGAACTGGGCTCGGGGGTCACGGCGGGGCTGGGGAGCTCCCAATCGACCATGCCCAGGGGTCCCGCTGCGGGCGAGGGACTGGAGTAGGTTGGACCTACCCTGACCGAGGAAGGATTGGACCGTCCGCTCTGCTGAAAGGGATTTTATGGGGCCGTAAAGATGCGACTGGGCCGCGAGCTGCGGGCTTGCTCTTACCTGTTTATGGAGGAGACGCTGGGTACCGTGTCGTTGTCACAGATGCCCTCGGCCAGTAGCCTGTCCCGGATCTCCCAGGCGAACATTGTCGGGTTTTGTCTCTTGTACTCGGCGATTTTATCCACTACTTTGGGGGTGGCTACTTTGGGTTTGGAGCCGCCGATCACGCCGGGCTTGATGCTCCCCGTCTCGTAATACCTGCACAAAGGAGGGTCAGCGACCTGTCGTGCCGGGAAGGGCCCCGCCGTCCCCGAACACTCGGTGCCCGGCTGCCCCTCGCAGCGCCCCGCGGGCCCCTGCCCCGTGCCCCGCCTCGGCTTCGGCCCGCGGGTGCGCGGCGTCGGGCCGCGGCCGCTCGGGCGCTGCATGGCGCGGCTCCGCGAGGCGCCAGGCCGCCTGGAGCTGGGGCTGACGCAGTCCCTTCGCCTCTCCGGGGCTCGCTCCCGCTCTTCTTTTTTTTCTTTCTTTTTTTTTTTTTTCCTTTCTTTTTTTTTTTTTTTGGTCCCTTTTTATGTGTGCGAGAAGCGAGGGGCGCTGCCTCCTCCTTCTACCGCTTTACACGCACAGACTTCTTTCAGGCCCGGGGATCGGGAAATAAAGCAGAAACCCTTTCCTCGGTGCGGCCGTCCGGAGGGGAACCCGCCGAGCGCGGGACCGGGCCGGGCGGGCGAGGAGGGGGCGCGGGGAGCGGGCACTGCCGGGCTCGCACCCCCCGCCCTGACTGTCCTGGCCGGCGCCTCCCGACTCGGGACTGATGCGGGAGCGCGGTTTATCCCCGCATAGGAGTCCCTCGAAAGCGGGTACTCGTACAGGGCAGCTCCAGCCTCGCTCCCCGCCGGCCATCAGCTCTGCTGGCGGCAGCGCCTGTGGCCTGGCCTTGCCAAGGCACGGCAGAGCACACACCGCACGCACCCGCGGCTGGGGCTCTGCCGCCTGCTGACACCGCTCCGCATCCGAGCGGCCGGACCAGGGCGCCGGGTCCCCCCGACTAGCCCCTGGGGATATTTGACACCACATTTGGCGGCGATCGGTTACCGCGGGCATTTATTTATTTATTTGCCCCGTTGTTTGTTTATTTACCCGTGTATTTGGTAAGGCTGCTCACGGATTGTTGTGATTTTTTTTTAGGATTTTTTTGGTTGCTGTTGGAGGCTGCCTTTTTTTTTTTTTTTTTTTGTCGTTCTTTCGTTTCCTTCTCCCATTCCTTTTCTTTCCCGCCCTCCTGCCCAACCCTCTCAAATTATTTTGTCTTCCCAGGAGTTTTCAAACACCGCCGATGGGGGAAAGGGGGAGGAGGGGAGAAACACGTCCTTGCCAGCTGGAGGAGGGGGCCCTGCTCAGCCGCGGGCTCCCACTGCGTGAAGGTGCTGGGGCCGCTCGGGGTCGTGGAGGGGAGAGCCCGGTGCGGCGGGAAGGGCGGAAGGTCACACCGGAGCGGGGAAGGGATGCAACGTCGCAATCCCAGGGGAGGGGAAGAAGCTGCCTCTTTCCTTACCTGCCCAGGATCTTGCTGACACAACCGTGGCTGACCCGCAGCTGCCTGGAAATGTCACAGGGTCGCACCCCCTGGTGAGCCAGCTCCACTATCCTTTGTCTCACCACGTCAGGTAGGGGCCTGCCGTTCACAAACACCCCCCCGAGCTGGTTCACACCCCCGTGCCCTGCTGGGGAAAGAGAAATAAAAAAAAAACACAACAACCCACGCACACCAGAAACACACCGTTAGTCGTGGATTCTTCACCACCCGTACTGCAAAATCTCCAGTCATTATAGATGGATGGAGGTGATGGCGGGGGGTTGAGAATGGGGAACAAGACGTTGGGGAGAGAGAGAAGATGATAAAAAGGGAGAAAGAGAAAGAAAGAGGAAAAAACAGGGAGAATGAGAGGAAAAAGAAAGAAGGAAAGAGAGAGAGAGAAAGAAAGAAAAAGAAAAAGAAAGAAAGACAGAGGAAAACAGAACTAAGAAAGGAAGAAAGATAACGGAGGAGGAAAAGAGAAAGGAGGAAAGATGGAAAGGAATGAGAAGGCTGAGTGAATTTTCCCGAGTCGGAGGGGGACTGTCCTCCAGCTTCCCGTACGCCGCCTCCCGTCTCTGGGCCGGAGAGCCGCTCTCCCTCCTGCGATCCCGAGCGGGATGCCGGAGCAGTGGCTTCTCAGGGCCATTGTGGTGGGCCGAAGACGGAGACAGTGCCCGCGCCCGCTCCTCTCCCCAGAGTTGGGCAGCGATGCACTCCTAAACTCCGGAGCTCGACCTCTTAGCGGCTCCGAGCGGACTCTGCCGCAGTCCCCCTTCTCTTTACTCCTGGGTTTTTTTCTCTCATTTTCTTTCCAGGATTTTCTATCACATTGTCAATTACAGTTCCTCGCGAACTCCGCCCTCCCTCACCCCGCGGCATGTCCCCCAAGCAAGCCGTCCTCTCCCGTTATTTTGGGCTGCGAGTTGAAGGGATTCAGAGAGAAAAAGAGAAAGGGAAAGAAATGGAGACAGAGGGAGGAGGAGAGAAAGAAAATATTTTTGGTCCCGCGACCGGTGTTCCTTTATAGACGGACCCTCTCTCTCATCTACTTTCGATCTTTACAGGAAAAATTCTCCAGTAAAGAAAAAAAAAATCTGATAGACTTGCACTGGTCCGTATTTTTTCCCACCACACAAATCTAGTTCAGGGAGCATTAAAAATGCTTCGTTTTCTTCTGTTCCCCCCTTTACAGGCAAAAATCCGCCCTCTCTCAGATAGGACTGCTAGGATGGCTTTTTTCCGATCTATCTTTCTCCATTTCGAGAAATAACTTGGAGAAAAAAAAATAAGCATGCACCTGCTAAGCGTGGGCACGAGAAACGGATTGACAGGGATAAAGGGAATATCTCCTTTTAGGACGCAGCAAGACAGTTGGTTGTGAATCAAACGACTAGGTTAAAGCCGGGAGCAGTTCGTCTTTGCCCGGGCGTGGGGAGATACCCACTCGCAGGCGGTACAGCTTCACTGGCGGTGCTACCTCAGTGTCTGTATCTCTGGAATATCCAACTGATATAGCTGTGGAGTGCACACTGTATTAAAGCTTTCCTTTCACACAACCCTAACCTCCTGTATCTTCCTCGCCAGGAGATCTTAGTTCGTTTTGTAGTTTGCTGAAAAATGATCTGTTTGTATTTTCACTGAGGTTTTTTTCTCCCTTGCTTCTGACACTGACTTATTGGCTCTGAACTTAGTGGAAACTCTCATTGCCCTGCGATCGATCCAAGTCCTTTCGCACAAATAGAGTTTTTTCCATCTCCCCCACCCTTTCAGTAACACCTTCATACATCCCCTCCCAGCTGCATCGGCCGGGGCGCCGACAGGCTTCCTCGTCGTTCCTCGGTGAACCAGGGTTATTTGTTGCGTTCTTTTGTTAGTTTTTTTTATTTTTTAAACATATTTAGAGTTTTAGAGAGGATGGGGGATATTTGTCTTCCGCCACTAAAACCTGCGGGTATATGTTGCTCTGTGCTTCCTTCATTTGTTCAGAACCCCTTCTGCACATGTTGCCTCTAAAGTTACAAGACAACAATTTCTTCGGCAACTCCATGATAAATAATTCAAAGCACCTATTATAACTCGCATTACAAAGTATTAAAAGGCAACTGATGCAAAAAGATTAAAAATTAATAATTCAAATTATTGCAGTCTGGATATTTTTCACACGAGTTTGTTTTGCTCTACCCTATGGTTTTCTAAGGTTCTTTCTATCGGAGCAGTCAGATATTTACGTGTATTTATCTGCATATAAGTGCCGGCGTCTGTATATGCACATACCGAGCCGTGCCGCTGCCGTACCGATCCTGTGTTGCTGTCTGTCTGTGTGTCAGGAGCCTGCGCCCGCATCTGTTTTAATTGCTTACTAATATCCAGGTCTGTAGCTCTAGAAAGAGCTTTAGGAAACGAATCGGATGTTGATTTTTTTTTTTTTTTCCTAATCGGAAGCCAAAAATTGTTCATGAGTCTCACTGGAGTTTCTAAAAAACCAGCGACAGCGAAATACCTCTTTCATCTGCTTATATGTTCCGGATCATACTGGAGGCGGTATTATTGCAATTGCATCTGAAAGCAGGTCACACCGCTGAAAACTAAAAATAATGCCTAATGCACGGACTGTTTGCTGTTAAAGGTCTTCGGAAATTAAACTCCACATTTTAAGCAATTTATCCTGGAAATCAGTTATTTGGAAACAGAAAGACAGTTACCTACATCCACGTTTGGAGATCTAATAGTGGGTTTGTATTTCTTAACCTCCCTTCTCACGGCAAAATCGGGATTTTTTTTTTTAAACTTCAAGTATTTCTATTTTATATCTTTTCGATTTGTATTTTATGCAGCAGGCAGGGCGTGTCCTCAAAAGTTTCAGTGTCAAAAGTTACAAATTGCTCTTAATTATTCATTTCCTGACTCAACGTGCTTTCGATCTCGGCTTTCTATTTGTATTTTTTCTTCTTTAATTTAAATCGCGGAATTATTTTCCCTCCTGAATTGAGGAGGGAATGATGAAATTAAAGTCACTGGAAATTCCTGTTACGGTCCCTGGTAAAGGAGGCTTTTCGCTTTCCTTCGTCCCCGTCTTACAGAAAGGTTTTTTTAAATTGAAAATATATCATGAATGCACTTTAGTCTGTGCCAGGAATGCATTTAAAATGCACACCGGGGATCTGGTAAATAAACCAGGAGGGATCTTGGGACTTCTTGGGAGCCTCCAAAACCACTCCATCTCCTAGCCATAAAATTGTCCTATTTTTCCTGCAGTCCAACCTTTTACCAAACCAAAACGAATCATGGAACAGTCACCGACCAACTCGCCATTAATTTGAAACTGGCATCTCCCCTCTCTGGCACTGAAATCCGAAATCAAAGCAAACAGCATCAGGTCGCGGGGGAATCTGGGGGGTTAAAGCCAAGCAGGGTTGCGGGGAACCCCGGCCCGGCGGGGCACGGACAAGGAAAGGGTCCGTCCCGGGGACTGACACGAGTCCGAATAAACTCGTGTTGTTTGAGGGGCGATGGGGAAAGTGTCTTTGCAGAGGACAGTTCTGTTTCGGGGGGTGCTTTCTTTCGCACGCACACGGCTCGTAGCACAGGCACAGCCGCACACAGCCCCTGTCCCCGGACTGGGGGTCCTGACCCCCGCCCCACTGCCGGCACAGAGGTCTGCTGCCTCCGGCTCCGGGAATGCCCGGCATCCTCGCTCTGCCGCTCGGGCCGGCGGTATCCGTCCTGCCTTCTGAACGCCTCTCTAAGCCCGGTATCTACCAGAGTGAAAGGATGGACCTGGAGGAGGGTCAGGTGAGGAAGGATGGTTGGGGAAAGAAGAATGGAGGGATGAGAAGGAGGGAGAGCAGCGGAAGGAGCCGGGCTCCAGTACTCACGGTGCATTGCTGAGAAGGGGTCTGCTTTGCAGTGCATATCCATGGGGAGGCAAAGGAAGGGGAAGAAATCGGCTGAAGCCGCCGTGTCGCCTCTAAAACTCAACTTCAAGACTTAGGGGAGAAAAAAAAAAAAAACCAAAACAAACGAAAACAAAACAAAACAAAAAAGCACACAAGGAGAGGAAAGGAGGGGAGCGGCGGGGTGCGCTGGGCCCCCTGCCCGGCGGAGCGGGCAGCGAAGTACTTTCCGGGGGGCGGGAGGGCTGCACCGGCCTGGGGGGCCGGGGCGGCGGGGCTGGCGGAGTCAGCAGAGTCCGTGGGAGCGAGGGACTGGCGGCGCCGGGGGGCAGGTGGGTGTCATGGCTGGGAGGGCTCAGAGCATCCCCGGCGGCGGGGAGGGGGTGCTGGAGCAAGGTGCGGCCGGCGGCCAGGCGGCAGAAGGCGCAGAGGACGCGGCTCTCCCTCCTCCTCCTCCTCCTCCCGCGGTCCGGGGCTAGTTCATTTAAGTTCAAAGCGGAGTAGCAATCCCCGGGAAAGCGGCGAGCGGCGGGCGGGCGCGACCCCTCCTCTCGGCCGGGCGGCGGATCCGGCGCCGGCGGACTTTCGCCCGAGGTGGGAAGTGCTTGCGAGGAGCCGGGGCCGGAGACTGGAGCCTCCGCTCCCGGTGTGTGTCTCTCTAAAAGCCGCAGCGCCCTCAGCCCCCCGCCCGCCTCCCCGGAGATGGATGACTTGTCAGACAAAGGCAATAGATTCCGACACTCTCTGATTCGCCAGCGCGCCGAGCCGAGCGCGGCCAGGAGAGGAGAGGAGAGGGGAGAGGAGAGGAGAGAGAGGAGGGCCGGGCCGGCGGCGCTCGGCGCGGGGGGGGCCGCTGCCTGCGGGACCCGGCGCGGGGGAGCCCCGGCTGCGCGCTCCGGAGCGCCCCGGGCCGTGCGTGTGCGGGGCGGCGGCGCCCCTGCCCGGCCCGCGGGAAAGGACGTGAGCCCCGCTTTGTTGTCAGTTGCGGCTCAGGATCCTTAACTCCCTTATTTAACACACGCACACACGCCTTGGTAGTCTCATCTCCCTTCTTACGCCCCGCTCTTTTTTACCGGAGACTTTACTCAGGGTAAAGCGGGACGGAGGGGGGGGCTGGGGGGGGATTCGATACACATCAAGGCTTCCCTGGTGTGCGGCTTAGTGTGGGAGACGGACGGGGAGAGAAAGGGAGAAAGGAGATGAGGAAGAGAGAGGAAGGAAAAGGAGAGAGACAGAGAGAGGAGAGAGAGGT